CAATTTTACATAGCAATAATGTATTAAATTTTACAACTGTTATAATTAAATCACACAACTACGTTAAGTAAAGGCAGCTATTAAAAATAGGAAAACTTTTGTTCAATCCAGTATAACCTATCCTTATTAACTATGGCATCCAAGAAATGTATGGAAGCAACAAAGCCTGAGAAGGTTGAATTATCAATGACTGAAGTGAAAAAGGAACTTATGGCATAAAAGTGGTACACCTGACAGATCTGGGAGTCATGTTTAAGGTGATGAAGTTGATAGTGTGTGACCAATAAATGAAATTTTCATTTCATTATGAGTATTTACATATTTTATTTATTGTTCTCATGTTTTAATTTATTATTTAGGGCATTTAATAGTATTATTTTTACTTTAAATTACAGTCGACCCCCCCTATAATTACGGTCCCTATAATTACGATTCCTATAAAACTACGAAAAAATATACGTATTTTGGAAATGTTGAGTCAGATTAGTCTAGAATCGATTAATTTTATGGAAGAAAATCTTTCAAACAGCCGTAGTCCGTAAACTTGACACGTGTCGGGTTGTGATCGGAAGGATTTGTAAGAAATCGGATTCCTAAAGAATGGAACGTATCTATATCTTATAGGGGGGTCGACTGTATGTGTATTTGGTGTTTTAAGTACTGTATTTTGATGAAAATATGAAGTAAAATTTACTACTTTTTAGGGCTCAAAATCATGGTGCTCTTATTCTCGACAGGTAACCATTTTTACAGTGAAAGTATTTACAGTAGTGGTCCATCTAGGGACCANTCCGCGACGAAAACAATGTTGAGCAATGGCAATGTCGAATGGTGACACTCGGTAAGTAATCCTACAATTTTTTGTTTATAGCGTAGTTTATACGGATTATTCCCAAAAAATATATACGTATTTTGGAAATGTTGAGTCGGATTAGTCTAGAATCGATTAATTTTATGGAAGAAAATCTTTCAAACAGCCGTAGTCCGTAAACTTGACACGTGTCGGGTTGTGATCGGAAGGATTTGTAAGAAATCGGATTCCTAAAGAATGGAACGTATCTATATCTTATAGGGGGGTCGACTGTATGTGTATTTGGTGTTTTAAGTACTGTATTTTGATGAAAATATGAAGTAAAATTTACTACTTTTTAGGGCTCAAAATCATGGTGCTCTTATTCTCGACAGGTAACCATTTTTACAGTGAAAGTATTTACAGTAGTGGTCCATCTAGGGACCAACCTGTGCAGTGGTCCGTTAAGCAGATGGTCCCTCAACCGAATGGCTAGAGTACCTAGATTATCAGAGTAGCGACACACAAGTCATCTCCTCCATGTTCTGTCGACTTTCATCACGTGACCTCTGAGTTTACATTAAGAAATTATGNTTAAGCAGATGGTCCCTCAACCGAATGGCTAGAGTACCTAGATTATCAGAGTAGCGACACACAAGTCATCTCCTCCATGTTCTGTCGACTTTCATCACGTGACCTCTGAGTTTACATTAAGAAATTATGATTATTTCAGTTTAATAAAGCATTTTATTCGTTTTTTTATTCAAGAATATGACGGATGGATGAATTGATACCTTTATTAAACTGAAATAATTCGTGATGAATGGAACAAGTGGATGATGACTATTGCTAATAAAAGTTTAACACCAACAAGGAGAATAAAACGAGCCAGCATTGCACAAGTGTGTGATTGGGTGCTGTGTGCTTGGGAAGGTATTAAAACGGAGATCATTATTAAGTCATTCAAGAAAACTGGAATATCTAATGCTCTGGGTGGTACAGAAGATGAGGCAATCTATGAAGATTCTGATNTTATTATTATTATTATTGTATTCCCATTAAGATTCTTTAACTATAATATTTTAATAAAAAATGCATGCTTTTTCAAACAAATACATTGTAAAAGAAAAATTGTAATTAAAATGCACATCAGACATTTGTTTACCCTCATGAAGTAAACAAACAATCCATCTAAATATATCTTGAAATGATAGTCCCTATTTAAAAGACTGAAAAAAAACAATTTTGTTTTTGAACTTTATTAAACTGTGGAACAACTTAATACATTTAAATTTTTTTAAAAAGTTAGTGATTTGTAATAAAAATACTAATGGAGACATACAAATAATTGAAGATACTTTTACAATCAAGAAAGTTAATAATAAAAATACATTTAAAAAAGTGAAAATAGTGAATAGATTTACAGAATCAAAATTTATAGATTTTTAAATAGAAAAAACATTATTTTTACTAAGTTTATATAATTCACAAGCAATTTCAAATTACAACCAAAATTAACATCTTCCAACTCACACTATGCTATCAATATATGAAAGAGACTATATTAGCCTATCATTGTAGATAAATATCAACAGAAATGAAATGAAAAAGAAGAGTTCTCAGTCTCACTTACAGAAAAATAATGAAAATAAAAACAAAGTTTAGGATGTTAAATTTTATAGACAGATAATAGATGAAATGGTTTGATCATTTGTCAATTATCATTTTTAACAAGTTACCATATATTGCCTTCATAGGAAGACAATGGATTTAGAGTAGAGAAAGCCTTTGCAAAAGGTAGGTAGATGGCATTGTCAATATCCTAAGGCAGTAAACACTAGCTAACAAGGAACAGCACAGTTGACACATGCTAATAAACTTTAGCTCCCCTCGATATCACAAGGTAAAAGAAAACAGAAAAATAAGAAGAAAAAAAATTTATATAACAACAGAAATATAAATTTTGTATTCATTATGCAATATAAGACTTTTTCAACAACTCAAGGTAGTTTTCTGTATTCAATATAACAGAACCCTAATTATCCAGGACAAACTTATGAGTGAGCACACTACTTCTTTTCATACTGTAATTCATAAAAGAAAGTTTAAAATGATAACATGCACTACAAAATAATTTGTTCCTGTTACTTTTTATCATTTAACTTCAATGTGAAACAAATTACACACATTAAATTATGATAAAAATAATACACTTTTTTTTTCTTAAAACCATTGTAAGTAACAATATTTGTATAATAAAATGATGTAAAAATTTTTGTTGTTATATGTGATTAAATTTACTAAGGTATAAAAAGAGGCTTAAAGGTGACATACCATATAAATCTTTTCTGTTCATAATTTTTAATTCGAAATAACTGTGGCCACCTGTTTTATCTGAGTTTTTGTCATCTGAGATAGCATCAATTCATATTATCTCAGGATTCTACAGTATAAAGTTGTTTGATAGATCTTGAAATATTTCATATACAGGTAACCCCCGTATAATACGGCACTTCTATAGCACAGATTCACTCTAACACGGTTCGAGAATTGGGAACATCCCCCATATAACATGGTGCTTTTATAGCACGAGTTCACTCTAACACGGTTCGAGAATTGGGAACATCCCCCATATAACATGGTGGTTTTATAGCACGGGTTCACTCTAACATGGTTCAAGAATTGGGTAAAACCCTCGCACAACATGAAATGTAATAAAGGGTGCATTCTTTTATACTTCCACGTAACTCCGCGCGAGCATTCTAATTGTTTTTGTGGCTACTTTGAACGCTCTTTCAACAATAATTCAACAACATTAATAATGGTTAAATTTTACAATTGGGACCCTTCTTTTGCCTCTAAAAGCTCATTTTAGAATTATAGATTTCTCCATCACGATACTATCGATAGTGCGGGCGCCGCCATCTTTCTTTCACCGTTGTTCCTAACTGCCTACAAACAGCAGAGCACTCCCGTTACAGAGCGACCACTATTAACGAACGCACCCAATAACTGTTACCAGTTGATGATGCTCATGCTGAGATCATCATATAGGATGAATAATCCTCTGGTAAAATATTTGCTTAAATAATAAAGAAGTATTTTACCTATGAAAAAAATGAATAAATCCAATTTAAATAAGGATTTAACAGCATGTTTTTTAATGTTTGGAACGTAACCTCCCTTTTCACACTAGTTCTTTGTTTCGTATAACACAGATTCACATAACACGGCAATTTTTTGGAACGTAACTCTCGTGTTATATGGGGGTTACCTGTATTATAAAATAATTTGTGAATGATGCAATTTTATACATTAATGATAAGTGACTATAACAACATACACTAACTGATAATTTAAGCTTTGAAATCTCAGGAAAACAGAATCCATGAAAATTTTAGAAATATTGTGTGCTCAAGAGATTACTAAATGATAAAACTATTTGATCAAATAAGTTAATGTAATAAATTAACAACTAACAGATTTTATCATTATATCTTATAAAACTGACAAATAATTTTATTATTATATTCTTTGAAAATTAATTATGAATTCATATTTTTCATTAAATAATTAGAATTAATTTCATTATAATAGCAATTATTGATGACAGATAACTATAAAATATTTCTGTACCCTTTGTAATTATTTATTCATTGAAAAAAGCTAAAACCATTATTAATGTAATTAAGTATTTCTCTTCATTTGATTTCAGTTTACATATTAGATAAAATTAAATAAATTCAAAAAAATAAATCCCATTTTTTTTACATATTTTTCTTTACTTCTATTTATTTTCATCATTATAATTTTAGTTTCTGATATCATCAAAATTTTGCTCTAATATTAACTATAGAGATGTTTAGGTAAATACTTTGGATATCTTAAATAAATATAGAATTATTGTTTTATATCCTTTACAAAATTTAGTTCTAATCAGTTACTTAAAAAAAATTTTCATTTGTAGTACACACAAATTACAAAGGGTTACAAAAAAATTTGTTTTCCAGCACATTACTGAATAACTTTTTATATCTGTTTAATTAAATACCAAAGTATTTTATTTACATAAAAAATGATAAATTTAAATATATATTCAAAATTCTATAAAACTATTATTTCTTCATTTATTTGTATAAATAACTTATAATTATTAACTATACTAACTAAACAGTAATAAATAATTCTATATGATTAAATAAAATTACCTTTCATATTGTGCATTGAGTTTATTTCGACTTTTAAATTTAAAAAATTTCTTTTCTTATTATGAAACTTTTCCTTGTAATTGACTTCTTAAATTAATAATTGAGAACTGTTTAGCCAATTCAGTTGCTTCTTCTAATGCTCCAATAGTTATTAACATTTGTGCAAATTCTTTGATGATGTCTCTAATTTACACATTTTAAAACAAAAAATTATTTATAAAACCTGAATACTATAATAGGACATTTTAAATACTTACTTAAAATGTATTTCATCTTGACTTTGGGCAAACTGTTTTAAAAGACGAGCAAACATCTGTAACTGAGGTAATGTTTTACTTCCTTTTAACTGAGAAAACCAAGCTCTTGGCAAAGTTGATACAATCTAAAAAAATTGTATACAAGTGAGATTTTAGTTATTATAATTTTAAAAAATTTAAAATACGTTCATAGATAATTCTGAAAATTAACAGAATTTTATTCTCAATTGAAATGAAATTAAAAATAAAATATACCGTTCGACACTTGTCAACTGTATCTTTCTGCATCTGTGAATTCTGCAGTGCAAGAAGAAGGTATCTATTTAATAAACAGTTGAAAGCCAAATCTTGCAAAGATTGTTCTGATAATATTCCATGCCAACTTAAAATATTTCTTAAAAGCTACAAGAATAAATTTTATAAATATATTTCAGTTTTATAATACTGAATTTAAATATATTTTTTTAAAATTAAGATATAAAAATTTACTTACTTTTACACATGACCAGAACTGTCGCTGAAAAAATGTCACCGCACCTAATGTTCTATTTTCCAATAATCTACATTTGATAAAAGTATAAAATAAATTTTATTTTAAAGTTAACTTATTACTGAATAATACTGTTTGTCCAATAAGTATCAGGACTGTTTTTTCCTGCCAAGTGGGAAGGGATGAAGGATGGTTTCTGTAGGCAGAATTGGTGGTGGGGATGTAATGTAAGCTACAAGACCTGGCTCAGTTGTCTCCGAGCCTTTGGAGTGAGTAATCGTGCCCAAATTAAAAGTATGTTTAGTGCTCGCATTGAGAGTCAAGATTCAGCAGTGTTTTGTAATCAAATTTTATGTTAAATTGAACAAATCCACTAGGAAGACTTTTGATATGATCTGCGAGACTTACAAAAACGCAGTCCTGTTCCAGATTGCGTATTTTTGAGTGGCATAAGAAATTTAAAAATGGCCAGGAAGATGTCAAAGACAAACAATGCACTGGATGTCCAACAAATCAAGAGTGAAATCGATGGACATTGTCTTCTTTGATGCTAAAGGTGTGGTCCACAAGGAGTTTGTGCCTGCTGGACAAACAGTGAATGGTAAATTTTTTGCAAAAATGCTCGAACATTTGAGGATTAGGGTCTGCTGCATCCAAAGGGAGATTGCAGATACCTGGATACTCCATCACAACAATCACCGTACAGTCCAGATGTGGCTCCCTGACTTCTTTTTGTTCCCTCAGATCAAACGGAGCCTGAAAGGAAATTGTTTCAGGACAATTGAGGCGGTCAAAGCGGCTTCGACAGGGTGCTAGAATAGCCTTGAGATTGCTGACATCCAGGGAGCGTATGAAGACTGGAAAAAGTGCTGGCAGCAGTGTGTTGATGCAAGAGGGTCATATTTTGAAGACTATTAACTCACTGTACATATATCTTCAATAAATTTCTTTTTATAACTTCAGTCCTGGTACTTATTGAACAAATCCTGTATAAATTTACATAAGCATGAAAGTTTTAAAAATAAATTATAAATCTGACTTACTCTCTTGGATAAAGTGGTATAAAAACATCTTCATCTAATGTCCTATAAATTCTTGTTATAACAGCATGTAAATATTCCTAGTTTAAAAATTAGTATAAATTATAAATACATACAGACATATGTGCATACAAACACATACACAAAATATTCAAATATTTAACACACAATTCTTTAGTATTTAATATTATGCGTTAACTTTGATCTGATATAAAAAGCCTTGCAATTTGATAATCTTTACAGAAAAATCAATGAAACATTGCTTTCTACTGTCTGTACAAATACTCTGAAAATAATCTTTTATACTTTTATGGGATTGGAAAAATTAAGTTTTTCTATGATTTACATATGTTTACATTAGCAATGTTTGCATATGTTGTAGAGCTTTACATATAAATGGGTAAGCAAAGTTCAATTTTTAATAAAACAAGCTAATGTTAATTAATAGACCACAATAAAAATTATAAGTATAATAAAATAAACTGGCCTTAATTTTGGAAGGTAGATCTAACCTCCCACTTAAGCTTCTAGAACAATTATCACATCTCAGGAAATAAACTTTCAATAGTAAATGAACACAATGTATGCAGCTTAGACTGAGTTTGGGTATGGTTAGTATCCAAGTATTATCTCTCCCCCCCTCGCCAACCTCATAAAAACTAAATTCAGTGAATTGTATTTTATTTATTGTTAGTATAACTTTCCTTTTTCTTTTTTTTTTTACACCCACTTGTTATAATAATTGCAGCAATCTTTAAGCTTATTATTGTTATATTGCCAAAATATGCTTACTTTCTTATTAATTTTATTGTACAGAACACCCACGTTTCCAGCTTTTATACCTATACTTCCCCATATATGGGTTGCAACAATATGATTTATATCATTCCATCTGTGTCTCATTGGTTCTGTGTTTTGGAGAACGATTTGTTGCATTAATGTAATCATTTTACTGAAAAATATTTGAACTTTCCATCTCTGGAAGGTTTCCACCTTACTCAGATTCTAGTTTTTGAAAGTCTTTCTGTATAATACAAATTTATTAACTGACAAATTAGTTTTTCAATTAACTTTTATACATTATTTAGAAAATCTACATCTGCTTTTATAACTAAAATTTTTCTTTGAAATTTTGAAAGAAATTTCAAAACTAATAACAACATTCCAATGGTATAAGTCATAGTGGAACACAGAAGAAAATTTAAATGATAATTATCAAATGCAAATAACATAAAACTAATATTTTTTCATAATCTAGATAATTTACTGTTAAAATAATGCTGATATTCTCTTTGTTTCAATCAAGTGTGATCAATTAGGAAATCTATAAATTTTGTGGATGCATTGTCTTCTGTGAACATTTTTATGTTAAAACAATCATCATCAAACAGAAACATGGTTTTGCTCATATAATGATAAAGACAAAAAACACTCAATTCCACAAAATATTTAAGTATTTAATAAAAATTGGTTTATATTTTAATTCTTTTTGCCTCTATGTCCTTACTTTATTGATTTATTTTTTTTCTTTGTCTACATTGGAATATCATTGTTGGGTATAATATTGTTATCTTTAAAATAAGTTTTTTAAAAATTTGTTATAGAATATTATTGTAAACCTGCTGAAAAGGCACCTTCAGGCCTGAAACACAAAAACAGTGTACAGGTGAAAATAAAGTTATTTTAATTTTTCTGAATAAGATCTCCTCTATTTGCTAAACAGAAACTACACCAGAGTAATAAGTTCTACTAATAGACAAAGTCCAATGTAGACAAAGATACAAAAGAAATTAATAGTTTATATTCTTCTATTTTTATTCTCCATTTGATTCTACAATGATATAAACTGATAACAACATTACAAAGTTAGATTATATTATAGTAGTGAGTCTATTAATTATTCAATTAATAAAAAGATTAATACAAAATATCATTTCCATAGGGAATATCTGATAGAAAATTAAAAATTTCCTGACAAATAGTACAAAAGTATTATTTATTACAAATATTATTATTAAACTGATATTACAAAAGTATAATTTAAAAAAATTATACTTTTGTAATATGTAATATCAATTTTTATATACAATAAAAAAATTTTTTAAATAAAAATCTCAATTTTAATATGATGATAAACTTACTTGAGTATTTTTGCTTTTTCCATTAATATTAGGGTAATCTTCAATAATTCGTTTTGTAAGATTAACCAACTGCAATGTCTGACAAGTAGATACAGGATCCCATATTTCACGTGCTATAACTAAATAAAATATTCAGCATTATAAGTTCAGAATTTTTAACAACAAAACTTAAGTTACAATTATTAATTTATTGAATTTTTGGGAACATAGTGATATCAAAAAATTTTAACCTATTTAAACAAACCAATATTGAATTTCTTTCACATTTTCAAAATAATAAAAACTTTGAGACCATTACTTTCTTCCAACAGTATTTGTATATGAAAATCCAGCATTTATATCCGTTATATAAATAAATGTTAAAAACCATGCATGATTGCAGTGATCTGAATATTAATAGAAATGCTTATTTCCTAAAATTTACATATAACAATAAACAAACAAAAATATAATATAATGGGCAATAACATGTAATTAACTGTAGTTAAAATTTTGAGAACAGATTTTGGAACAGTTAGTTATATAAGAATAAATAATAGGTTTTTAAATTAATGAAAAATAATAGTAAAGAATGTATGTAAATTTTTGGAAATTTAGAATAAGAACACAAGAATTGTTTTCAGAGATTACAAAAGTCTTAATATCCATTCATTTTTCTTCATAAGAACATTAACTTATTTAATAATACTAAGTGTTAATAAATTTTTTTGTTTATTTTATAGAGTTTGTCAAATAGTTTTAGTGAAGAACTGGCACGATAGCAAGAAGAAACTATATCTTTCTAAATAATTTCATGAACGTTTCTTTAAAATTTAATATTTCAAAAAAAAAAAAAAAACTCTCTTTAGAAGACCTAAAGGAAATGACAACTTCCTCATTGAAAAAATGTGATTATTTATACAACTTTCAAATGTTATAAAAATTTTAAATAAAAAACTAATACAAGTGCATGGCCAGTGTTATTCACATTTAATAAATATAAAAAATATAAATACGACTTTACAAAGATAAATCTTTACATTTTGTTCTTCCTTTTCGCTTTACCTGTTTTACGTTCTTTTGCGGAGAAAGTAGCCTCAAAAGAAAGGTTGTCTCCAAAGTTTTGTGAATTATTTAAGGACTGCTGATGGTGTGAACGGCGAAAAAGAATGACAAAATGCAAAATTTTATCTTTGTAAAGTCATATTTATATTTTTTATATTTATTAAAAGTTATACAAATTATTTTAATAATTAAATAAGATATTTCTACATATTTTGAGGGAGTTGGCAGCTTCTTTAACTTCATATAAGTTCTTATTAATCCAACTACATACAGGCCTATTTCCTTCCTTTATAGTTTAAGTAAAAATGCTTTCCAGCTGGTTTTATTCAATCTCAGAGTGCAAAAATATACTTAATTATCATTTATTATCTTACCCAACAATATAATTTTCTTTATGGATACCTGTTGTTTTGATGTTTCTTTCATTTAAAGATTATGATCATTTTTTTGTACCTTGAATATATATAATAAAATCCATCTTAGAAACTTCCACTTCCTTCTTGCACGCATTATTTCATAAACCTTAATAAATTAAAGTTTACAGTGTCACATGATTAAGGAATGTGTTTTAGTGTGTAAGAAGGAAGTGAAAATTAAGATAAATTTTTTTGTACAGTAATACCTCGACTTACGCGAACCCGGAGTTACGCGATTTTCAAATCTCGCTGATTCGTCTTTTGTTTGAGCGCCACGCAACTCTTGATTACTCACTCCCCTCACACTATTGTTCAGCTTACATGTTCGGAAATGTCGCACGGAATTGACGCATAGCTACAATTTATTTTGTGTTATTTATTTCTGTGTTTGTTTTATCTATGGAGACTTGAGATGTCATCTATTATTTCATCCAAATGAAGTAGAACTGATTCTTCTGCATCAAACAAGAAAAGAAAAACTTTATCTTTGGAATGTAAAGTTAACATTATTAGAGACTTCGATACAAAAATGAAAATTTGTGAATTGCAAAGAAGTTTGATCTACTGGAATCGACGGTCAGAACAATTATAAAAGATAAAGAAAAAATTCTGGAAGCTACGAAAAATGCTCAATCTTTAAATTCAAGCATTATTCATAAACGTCATGGTATTATTGCTGAGATGGAAACAATGTTAAAATTATGGCGTGATAATCAAGTAATTGTGAAAAATTGTATAATAATATATGTAATCTTAGATAATACATATGTATTATCTAAGATTTTATTAAACATTTTTTTCTAAATTATTGCTTTTTTTAGTCTCCGGCCCCAATTAAAAATTATTTGTATGTATTAATATGTGAAATTATACCCCGACTTACGCAATTATCGTTCAGTCCCAAATATCGCATAAGTCCGAGGTATTACTGTAGTTCCATAGTATAAAATGTTCATAAGGTATGTTAAAGAGAAGAAACATCTTGACAGAAAATTATATTGTCAGGTAATACACAACAACTAAACATGTCTTTGCACACTAAAGATGAAATAAAACCTATGCCAGAAATGCATTTGTACTTTAAATAAAGTGTCCAGGAAAAAAGTATGACTATATGTAATAAGAATTATGTCTTTATACAGAAGATTGATCACGTACCATAATGGTGATTTGTATATTACCCATAGTTCCAGTTGTAGGAAGTAGAATAAAAGCAACTGACCTACGTGCTGCTGTATATTCTGAGTTTTACTTTCGATAAGTAAGGTTTATCTATTGCAAATATGTCACCTAAAATTTCAGATTTTTGAGCAGGTTATGTAACTACTCTTTCTGAAGCAAAATATTTGCAAACTCAAATTATTAAAATGTGCAAAAATCGTGGTTTTAATGTTTCGCTATATTGGATACAGTCAGTTCTCAAAAGAAATGATTTGCAAGAGCCAGGACCGTCGTCAAGTGTTTAAATTTGGCTCAGAAAAAGGAATGTCCCAATCTGCACACCAGAGGTGATAGCAAAAGTGCAACAACTGATCAGTGGTTCAAATCCAAAAACCCAATGAAGTATTGCCCAGAATGTTGGAATAGCCCAGTCCACAGTTCATGCCATCATTCACAAGAATTTGAAACTGAAGAAATTCCATAAAGGTCGAGTTCACAAACTGCTGTCTCATCACATCCAAGAATGAAAGACCAATTGCCGAAAACTGTACGAAAAGTATCTTTCGGTAAACAAGTGGCAGTTTGTAGTCACACTAGATGAAGCATGGATGTACATGAACATTTGTAACAAATCGCAGGCAATTTACTACAAACCATCAGATGGGAGACCATACCAAAAATGATTCATGGAATCTTGCAAAAGTTTTCTGTCAGGCTTTATGGTCATTGTGGTTTCTTGTTATCGTGGTAAACTTTACATCAAAAAAGTTGAAAAAAACACTAAAATTAATTTGACGTACTACCAGACTAATGTTCTGGAACCTCTATACCATGAAGAGATCCCTACTTTGTATGGAAATGACCAAACAAATGTATAGGTGCATCAAGACAAAGCTTCCAGTCATACCTCCAAATTGACCCAAGGTTTCGTCCATGTATTGGAACAGGAAATGGGAATCCATACTATCCCTTTTGATGACATTTCCGTGAAGTCACCCGATGCGACTCCAGTGGACTACTGTGCGTTTGGTCTATGAAATAAGCTCTGGGAAGCTGTCATCCAAAAACAATGGCAGGCTTATGAAAAGCCTGTAAGGAGGAATGGGACCATTTGGACATGAATGTTCTTCAAAGAAATCTTCTACAGTGGAAACTTCAATGTAGGGCTATAGTTTCACAACATGGCCATCAGATTGAGCATAATCAAAACTGATGCCATGGCATTTAGGTTACTTTATAGGTCTCTTAATTCAGTATTATGTAATGTGATCAACCCTCTATATATTAAAAAGCTCAAAAATATTTCTAGTTTTATTCAAAATTTTGAAAGTTCAATTCAACTATTATATAAATTGTTCTTAAATAAATTTATAAAATTAAAAGTAAGCAAATTATAAATTGAATCATGTTACATAAAACATATTACATAAGTTGCTTAAAATATTAAATTTAAATTTTAAAACTAACCTGTTAATTTAGGAAGAACTACTTTTTCAACAATACTTGGTATAAGATTAAGATCAGGATCGTCTGAATCTATATCTTCTAAATTTTCATTATTACAACTGTAGAATATTAAAACTTCATACCATTTCATTTGTTCAAAATCAGCTCCACTCTATAAAATAAAATTAAATATCTTCATAATCATCGGTTTTTAACAAATTTTCCAATCAATGGCCTTCAAGATAATTCACAAAGAAAAATTTTTGAAACATTCTTTAAATAAAAAAGTTTATAATCCATATTATAAGAAAAATGAACTAGTAAAATACTTCATTTTGAAAAAAAAAAATAATTAAAATATAATTTTTTATCTTAACTAATAATAAACTATATAATTTTTATTTTTCCAT